CACATCACTCACATCACTCACATCACCCCTGGGCCGAGGCTCAAAGAGCCCAAGACGCAATCCACCCATGTCTCTGGCAGAGCCGCGGTTTGCGCAAGCTAGCAGCGGCGGGTGAGTGTAACATGAACCCGCATGATGATAATGGGCAGAACGGCAAACTCATCCATGTCACAAAGAGATAAGATATAAAGACAGAAGAAAACAGAGCTTTCACGGCGATGAAACTTCACCCACCCAACGCAGTTATTCCTGAGAAGGAAACAAGCCCAGCCTGAGGCCACCATGAGTATCTGCCCATACCTGCCCTAAGTTATTGTTCCAGGGAAAGTGAAGCACAGGCATGTGTGAAACATGTGAGACTCGGTGTGAATTTTTTATCAAAAATGAATCTGCATTTTCATTGCTGGGGTGACATGGCGGTGCAGTGCTTAAGCACTGTCACCTCAGACCTCTTGGAGCAGGGTTCCAGTCTCCGCCATGCTTCTGTGTGTGGAGTTTGTATGTTCTAACTGTGCCATTGTTGGATTTTGTCCAGGTACTCGTGTTTCCCCCCACAGTCCAAAAACATGCTGAGGAGTTATCAAACTGTCCATAAGTGTGAATTGTGTGTGTGTGCGCCCTGCGATGGGTTGGCACCCCACCCTGGGTTATTCACCGCATTGTGCCCGTAACTTCCAGGATAGGCTCTGGATCCCCTGCAACCCTGAATAATTGTTTCAGAAAATGAATGGATGGATCTCTGTGTCAGATGTTCTGTTGTGTTTGTTTTGTCTTTTGAAAGATGAAGGAGGAGTTTGTGGAGGGCTGCATTAATTGTTATCAACAGCAATGCCAATTGTAAAATAAAACCATTTTTTTAAAGAAAACATTTCATTGAAGAATATTGTGTTTTTTATCTTTTTTATATTGTCAACATGTAACGGTATTCCATTATTTATTTTGGGATTGGGTGCTTTAGGGACCCCAGCTGTTATAGTCCAGCAGTTCTCAACCAGGGGGCGTGGCCATTGCTAACAATATAT